ATCCGCCCTGCCCCGCGAATACTGAAACCTGCCCCGCCCTTGCCCCCGCCCTTGCCCCCGCAAATACTGTAACTCGCCCTGCCCCGGGAATGCTGAAACCTGCCCCATCCCGCACCTGCACCGCCCCATTGTCATCCCTATTTGTGATCCATAATTCTTGTAGAATTGGCGTTTTCATAGTTCTTGAATTTGTTTCCATATTAACCTTTTTGCTATGGTGTTATCTTTTTCTTTGTCATTTTTGCAGCTCGACAGTTGGGTCTTATGCAGAATCTATCAAAAAGTTGATAAGTCATTAAAAACCATTCGAAGAGAACTGAACTCTCCTCTTAGTATCAATGATCATGTTGGTATGGATTGTGACTATGAAGGAACAACAGATTCAATTGGAACTGATAACACATTTGAAGAAAACGTTCAATTGCTCGATATCGCTTATAATTCCTCAGATATCCCCGTCGATTCTTCTATTAAGAAATTCGCCAAGTTGAACGTTGATTATGGTTATCCTTTCCAGGGCGACGAAGCAAACTTTAACATGGCACAAGAAAATTTTACGTGGAGCTATTTTACGTATGATTATATGAATGATGTTCAATGGGATTTTCCGAGTTGGCAAGAAAATAGCTTGTTGCCATTGGATTAATACAATATTAATTCTTTTCCAGGCATTTAAAGGCTTTGGACAGGCCATTGCAAGGAATTTGGACCTTTAGATTTAGTAGTTCATTAGCTTTCTAGAAACTTCTAGTTTTCAATTCTATATTTTAGAGAAACTTGTTTTAGATGTTTAGTAATAGTTGTCGACTTTGATGGAACTATATATATGAAGTTAAGTTTAACTATATATTTAGTTTTATCTCCTTCATAAATTATAAAGTCTTGTGCATGGTTAACATTGCTGTATATCATATTATGATATCTTATCGTTAAGAAACTTAGGTGGTTTCTTTTTTCTTAAGTGAAATACTTTATTTTCTTATTTTTTCTTAGAGGAAAATGAAGGCATAAAAATGAACGCATATATATAGTCGTAGTGATTGATGAACTTCGATTGTCTCGATTATCAATAATCTTTCAATGAGATCTATGAACAAGCAAATTCAATGTTGAGGGAGAAGTTGGCACTAATACTTGGATGAAATTTGGAGCTCCTTTGGGAATTATGCATCAGCCATGGCCTATAAGAAGAATCAGGGGCGACCCAAGAAGATTGGTGGTCTAAAGCCAATTTTTAATTTGGGGCCTATCAGAAGGAAAAAAATTCATCTATATTTTTAATGGAAGTCTATATTTTTATTTTTTTAAGATGTAAAGTTGTTAATAGTTTCTTTTATAAATAATTTAATCTCTCCTAAAATATTATTGATCTTAGATAATTGAACTAGATTCAAGAAGTTTATAACTTGATATCAAAATAATTTTTGATGTTCTAATATACTTGTTGAAATGCTTGAAACCTGAGGGGGAAAAAGGAAAAAAAAAAAATGCGCAATATAATTTTATTCAACGGTACTCTTCAACTCTTTTTTTTTATAGAAAAAATAAAACTCTTTTTTTTCTACATAGAACAATATAACTTATCGAGAACTTAAGTTTTTTGTAGAAATCAAGAAGAGAATATAAAAATGTAGTACCCGTTTTCTGATGAGAAAGATAAAAAATAAGACTTGGACTATTGAATTGCACGTTTTTAGTGAGAAATGTAAAAGGAGAATAATAATATAGGTACCCACTAATGATGTCAATCGTCAAATTTAAATAATGAAAAGTTTTATATTCGCGATGACGGTTTAGGGGGAGTGATTTTCTTTCTCCAATTTTTGCTTAAACTGTTACATTAATACTAAATTAAAAGTTATATTTACTTTTTATAAAATAAATTTTTTTTTAATTTTAACATACTCAATATATTTAGACCCTACCTCTAAAGATTGTTGTGAGATGTATATGATCCAGCTTACCTTATATTGGGTTCGAGTCATGTGGTTGAAATAAATCCTGTTAAAACGTGTTCTCTCTTTTACTAGGCCTTATGCGATACGAATCTAGAGTAGTCGGGGTCTCAATATAAATACGAGTAGAAAACAAAAAAAAAAAAAATTGGGGCCTTCAAAATTTGGGGACTTAAAGCCTTTGCTTTAGTGGCTTGACTCTTGGGCCACCCCTGAGAAGAATTATAAAGGAATGGTGGGATGTTAAGCCTATGAATAATATACACAAAATGCTTCTACAAATTGTACCAATATGCATATATGTTGGAAAATTTGGAAAAAAATTGGGTTGCATGTAAATTTGCAGCAATGTATGGTGCGAGATGGTGCAATCAAAATAGTTTCAAAATGTAAATTGTACCAATACTTTTTTGTATATATATTGACATGGCAGGGGTCTAGCCAAACCTTCCATAACCAAAGGCACACTGCCAGAGGTTAATGGCTTAATTTAAATATATAAAAAAATACCATCTATGAAAGTTACCTAAAACATAGAACCCTAATGGCCAATATTGATATATATCCTTTTAAATTTCCTCTATCATAGTAATGAAAAACTCAAGAACTATAGTAAAAATCTTACCTCAAAGAGTTAAGACTAGAATTCATCAATTGATCTCAAGATTTGAGTGTACCCAAAATTATGAGTTTACTCAAGGTAACAATAGTATGATCATTTAAATTTCTCAAAAACTTTCAAGCTCGGCTCCTTAACTTGTTTTATCATGTTTAAGCCCTATATTACTTTTTTTGGTTTTTCATTCGGTGTCCACTACCCACTTCGGGGGCCGCCAAAGATCAAATTTGTGCCAAAAAGTTCCACTTAAGGGGGATGAAATATCTCCTACCAAATACAACTCTATACTCATATCTCGAACGGTCGAACCCGAAGTTAAGGATAAAGTAATATACTTATCGCTCCATCGTGATATTTGGTGGTCTAGCCCTAGACTATAACCCCTTCTGCGAAATTTCCTCCAAATGATCTCTTATGCCCACCAATGCATGCCTTTCTTTCATTAAATTAAATCTTAAACTTTCTTTAATTAACCAATAATATTATCAATGATTTCTATATTTTTCCTTAAATCATATTTAGTTCATCCTCAAATCTCGTTGGCTTATTTATTAGATTGTAGAATTGTAGAATAAATTAGCTAATCTAACTACTAGTTAGTCACTAGTTCTCATAACTCGACATTCCACATAGACTCAAAACTTTAACAGCAGTCAAACCTTTTAAAAATTTAAGACAAATGGAAAGAAAACATATGCATGTGTCTGTTTAGTATTCTTTTCGTATTATATATTTCTTTCCTTTTTTAAAACTAGGAAAATCCTTATATGGAGTATCTTTTATATGGTCTTAATAAGAGCAGGAGTTAAATGAAGAAAAATACCTTCTCTTTCTCTCAAAGTTTTTTACCCTATATTTTCCCCTCCCCACCATTCTGTTCTTCGTTAGTCAGAGGCGAATTTAAGACGAGTTCTGTAGCAGGTTCAATTAAACTCATCATTACTAAAATATATACATATGCAAAAGACAAAGATTATATTCATTCTGAACTAACTAACAGTATTAAATCTTGAATTCGCCTCATGTCTCAGTTGATTGAACGAAATATAAAACTAAAATTGGTTGATTCGATTTTTATCAATTTTTTTAACTTTGATTTTTTTATTGTGTGCAGAGAAAGAAAAAGAAATCCTCACATGGAGAGTAGATTGGACATGCATGAGATCAGTGATCAATGAATTTTCATCAAGGTATTTTTACTAAGGTGTACTAAAATAATGAACCTTTCTTTTTTACTATTTAAAAAATGTAATAATTACTAATCATTATATGTAACTATGTATAATTTAAATTATAAGTTTAAAACAAACATATAGTTTGGACCAAAGCTATATAGGCTAATTTAAATTATAAAACAATTAAATAGTTTTTTATTTGTAACTATGTAACCTGAAGCAAATATTTTTTTTTTTGTTACGCTTTGAAATCTTTTTTTTTAACACAAGACTCATAATTTTATTTTATTAACGTTATCATGAATAATAGTCACGCTTATTAAACAACTAGTCTTAGGGTACGCACTTTGCGCGTGTACGTATATCAATAAATACGTAAATATTATTAAATACTATATTTTGAGTTATTGAATAAATATTAAAAAATATAAGATCCTAATGTTAATCTCACTAAGCTAACCCAATAAAACAAATAAATCATACTTCATATAAGTCTTTATATGCTTTATTATGATTTATGAGGAGTGAAATATCTTATGAAATTAATTGTTATCTTTGTTATCGAAGACTATAAACAAACAACATAAAAAATACGTTTACCATAATTATTCAAAGATAATAAAATAAATTGAAAATCTGAATCTTTTGATCTTTTAGAAATTTTTGAGTGATGAGATAGAATTATAGTACCTCGAAGATATTGATAAATAACAATTTAAAGTCTTAAATGACTAATATTGAATTATAAAAATAATATAATACTATATTAAAAAATATAGGAAGCTATCATTTATTGCATTGAATATAAAAAAATTAATGACAACGTCTTTTGAATAGCTTTTGTTTATGTTACATCCTTAATGATTTAACTTAGCATTTTTAGCTATTTAACTTTTAATACTATATTAAAATAAATTTTGCTCTAATTTTTTTTTTCATGGCCAATGCTCTAGTTCTTGTGAAAATAAATTTAAGTACCTTAAGAGTTTTATCAACTTGATAAATAATTTTACTTACATAATGATTTTGAAAAAAAAAATGAATCATTTTTATCCCTCTAATTTATTAATTCAAATACTTAATTATTTATTGAATATTTCATTCTTTTATGATAGTATAGAAGATACAAACTATTTTTAAACTTTTTTCCTACTCGAACAATATAATATCCTCTTTATTAATTTGTGTAATATTTAAAACTACATTTAATAATTAAAATATATATTTAGTTAGTACAACATCTCTTACTTTTAATGGTACATCTTGTTAGAGTTATAAGTTTCCAATAAGAAGAATGAACGTGAAACATATTTCTATTGAAATTGCCGTCGGATATACAAGGAAAAGAAAACGTAAAATTACTCCTATTTCCCCAAATAATATCTATTTTAATATCCTTAATATATTAGGATAATCATTAAATTACAAATTTGTCCTATATATTAGGATAATCATTAAAATCCTTAATATATATTAGGATAATCTACTTTAAAATCCTTAATAATATCTACTTTAAAGTCCTATATATTAGGATAATCATTAAATTACAAATTTGGCTAATGTAAAATTTATTTTTAAATGGTAAAATTTGTTCAATAACATTTTCTACCAAACTATGGACACAAAAATGGTATTTTATTGGCTGATGAAGCAAATTGTAATATTGGTGATTCTAAATTTTCTTTTCGTCAGAAATATTTTGTTTCCATTCTTGTGTGAGTCCTATATGTTAGGACTAATTTCATAGGAGTTCAAAACATGGAATGTACTAAAATTTTAGTTAATTTAAATTCCTAAAAATTTGGAAAGAAGCTTAAATTACACTTTTGTCTAGTGTGAAATTTATTTTTAAAGAGCAAAAAAGGCGAACGATATTTCGCTAAAGGCCTTCGTGCTTTTAATTAGTATATAGATATATTGATAGATAGATATAGATATTAAGATATTAATATAGATAGATATAATAAATCTTTATTTTATTGTTCTAGCAATAAATACAATCTTGTATCCGCTGATAAAAATATCCTTGAATCTAATAGTCTTAAATATGTCATGTGAAACGGTGAAACTAAAGAGTTACTGAACATAAAAAGATACTTTTAAAACAAATTTTAAAAAAACTATAGTAAAGCACAAAAATTGAAATAGAGGAAATATTTACTACTCAAAGCACTTATTAACCTTTAAAGTAGACGGCAAAAATTAGAAGACTAGAATGTACCTTCATTACATTAGATTGATGAAATTAATTGAACACTTGAATTCCAATCGCAAAAAAGACAAGAAAAAAGCTAGGTAATTTTCGGATGATGTAGGTACCGGGTGCTAGTCAAATAGTCTAGTTAATAAATTTTTTGATTGCACAAGTTAAATTTTTTTTTTTTATTTGGATGTCCTAAATATTAGGATTTCATGTGTAGTAATTCAAATAAGGAAAACTTTAATAAACAAAATTTTACTTGATTTTAAAGTGCTAAATATAAGGAAAATAATATAATGACTATTTTGTCTAATGTAAACTCTATTTTAAAAGGGTAAAATAGGCGAACGACATTTCGTTAAGGGCCTTCGTGCTTTTAATATAGTATATATATAGATATAGATATAGATATATAGCTTCTTTTTTTGTGACAATACTAGTAAGCTAATTTTTGTACAATTCTAATGCAAGACAAAAAAACTATATCTATCTAAATTTACTATATTCTTCATCTTGCATCAGTATTTCAAAATGAAATATGTACTATTTACATAGATTGTTATATATTACTTAAATATCAAAGCTGAATAATACAACGTTTATCTCCAATATGAGTTAAATTCCTGTATTTAAATAATGAATTCCCAATGTCTTCCTTATTTTTTTCCTTCCCTTTGTTTCTTCTTGGCACATATATTTTCCGAGGAACCAAAATTATTGCGCATTTATTAAAAAAGGAGAAGAAATATCTTTGGCATTAATGAAATCACATCTTTCCTTTTATTCTAGTTTTCTTCCTTTTTATGTCGTCACCTTTTTTGTCACCTCTTAATTCTTTTCTTTTTTTCTACCTAAGTTATATCAATAAAAACCCTGAAATTCTCAATATTTAAACAGTTTTTCCTGCTTCATTATTATGTACTATATATGTTCTATGTCCAATTTGGTAGTTTTAATTCCATTTGGGTAGTAAATTTGTAATCTTCTTAAAAAAACATGAGCTTTTAAAAAAGTACTACTGTAAAACGGAAAAAAACATTAAGAAAATGGACATTCCATCCATTCTTCTATATTTTACCTTTTAAAAAGCTTATTTCTTGATTTTCTTTGCCATATATATTATAATGCCATGGACTTGGAAAAATTAATAACTTGAGTAAACGAGTAGAGGTAAGTTACCATGTTGAAGCTTATTAATATCTGTCCGTGTGAGTCATAATTCAGGACATGAATTGAGCTTAAATATATAAGTGATGATTCATATATATAACCGACTCCAACTTGTTTGAGACTGAGGCGTAATTGTTGTTGATTTGAACTTATTAAAATCAATTCCTCCAGTTTTGAATTTATTAATTGCTCTATGTTGTATTATCACTAGTGTTTAAAAAATTTCTAATCACCATATGAAGGAACTCCAGCATATCAAGCCATGAAGCTAAGCTCATTTAAAGTGCCAAAGCCGGTTTGTTTTTGCTTGGTTCTGGTAAGTTTCCTAGTTTTGAAATATTTACGTAACGCTCCTTTAGGGTGCGGCCTTCCCCCATCCTATGTAATCGTCGGATGCTTCGTGCAACAGGCGATCTTTTTTAATATTTAACAAAAAAAAAAAATCTAATTAGCTGACTAAAGTTTTTTTCTTGAATATTTATCACATGCAGGCAGTCATAATGCTATTGGTACCTGCTCTATTGATACCATTTTGGGTCAATAAGATCAAAAAAATTGAAGGCGAAATTAAGGTACTGCCTCACATTTATCTTTAAAACAAGCCTAAAATGTACAGTAACCTGGAAAATACAGTAATAACATGTTATATCACATTATAAGTTTGCACTATTAGTATTAACAAAATGCAGTTTTGTGCATAAAATATCTCGCATTCACACAGGGTCCGGAAAAGGGCCGCACCCTAAGGGTTAATGATGTAGACAGTCTATCCTAATGCATGAATTATATGTTGCTTCCACAACTCGAACTCGTAACTTATAGGTTACACAGAGACGACTTTAGTATCGTTGCTCCAAATTTTACACTATAAATGTATATAACATTAATTTGAACATCAATTAATCAACTAACACTTGTTTTTGGATCATTCTAAGTTATTATATGGTTTAATTTCAGGTGTATATATCAGGCAATGTACAAGATGTATTACAAAGCCATTTTCACAAGAATATTAAATTTGGATTAATGCTTATAATCCTAATGATGGTTGGACTGGCTATTTCCATATTCACTTTTGTTGTTCTAACAATAAGAGGAGCAAGAAGAGAAATGTATTTGTGTTCAGCACTTATAAATCAAATGGAAGCAACTCAACAAGCAGAAAGGAAAAGTATGAACAAAAGCACTGCATTTGTTCTTGCAAATCATGATATTAGAGCTTCTCTTGCTGGAATTAGTGGATTAATTGAGATGTGTCGCGCCAATGCTTCGCCAAAATCCGAATTGCAGAAGAATTTGAATCATATGGAAACTTGCACAAATAATCTTTTAGGTCAGTGTTTAGTTAACTCTTTCAGATCAATCATATTTAACTTATATATACTGACAGTTTAACATGTTATAGTAGGCAACTGTCCTGTTTTCTACGTTAGTAATCTCACTTTTATTGGACGGTTACTCGTTTATGGAAGCTTGCACAAATAATCTTTTAGATCAGTGTTTTAGTTGTCTCTTTCAGATCAATCGGATTTAACTTATATATACTGACAGTTTAAAGAATCGGATTTAATTTATATATGCTGACAGTTTAACATGTTATAGTAGGTAACTGTCTTATTTTCTACGTTACTAATCTCATTTTTATTGGACGGTTACTCGTTTATGGAAGCTTGCATGAATAATCTTTTAGGTCAGTGTTTTTGTTGGCTCTTTCAGATCAATCAGACTTAACTTACATATATTGAGAGTTTAAAGAATTTCGTTAGTATCAATGTATTTTAACACAGTAAGTGTCGGTTTAATTCTCACTGTCCTCTTCTGTTTTCCCTTTTCTAATCTCCTATAGATGTTATATATAAAATATTTAACTAAAATATAGCAAATACCCTATATATATATNCATTTGAGCTTGAAAATTCTGTTTGTCATTGTACTAGTTCTGTAATCTGCATGTTGTGCAATATATTAGTCCTCATATAGAAGCACGTTGAACTGCCATATGATTAAAACGAATTACAAGTGTTAAACTTCTTCTGCTGAGGTAGTTAAATTGCCATAGATATATTGATTTTGAATGCATATAGAGGCGGATTCAAGATTTTAAGATTAGTCTGCACAAACAGATATTGTTTATCTTGTGAGTGTGCATATATGTTTTAACTTCTACATACACACACACACATATATATATATATATATATAGGCACTACTTCAGCTTACTGAGAATATGACCCTCGATAGGAAGGTGTGGAGGTCGAGAATTAGGATTGTGGGTTGACAGGTTGTCGAGAGTCTCTTCTAGTCGTACCAGTAGTATTAGTACTAGTCTTGTATTCTCCTATTCCTAGTTCCTTGTTGTTACACGGTGTGTCATTATTACCGGTAATTCTCGCACTATTCTTGTAGTTTTGTATTCCTAGATCTTTGTTATTACACGTTGTGTCATTTGTTTTCGTTGTCTTATTATCTTGCTGTTGTTATTGTTTGTTTATTGTGTCCTTTTCATTGTTCTTGAGCGGAGGGTCTATTGGAAACAACCTCTCTTCTTTCATAAGGTAAAGGTAAGGTCTGCGTACACGTCACCCTCCCAGACCCCATGTGTGGGATTTCACTGGGTTTGTTGTTGTTGGTGTGTGTGTGTGTGTGTATATGTGTGTGTTGGGGGGGGGTTCAAACTGAACTGACTAGTTCATAAATGAAGTGTATGTAATGACAAAGTTATGATCTTTTTTCTTCAGCAATATTGAATTCTATTCTTGATCAAAGCAAGATTGAAGAAGGGAAGAAGCAACTTGAGCAAAAAGAATTCAACATGGAAGATCTACTAGAATATGTTGTCAACTTATTTTATCCAAAAGGAGCAATGGATAATGTAGATGTGATACTAGATCCGTGTGATGGTTCTATCAAAAGATTCTGTCGCGTTAAAGGAGATAAAACAGAACTAGAACGGATCTTGACTAACTTGTTGAGTAATGCAGTTAAATTTACCTCAGAGGGGCACATTACTCTTCGAGTTTGGGCTCGAAAACCTGGTTTTGATCAAAGCTCCAATAATTCTGCACCAAATACAAGTAACTCTGGCATTGGTTGTATGTCATGTTTACTTTTGCACAATAATAATGAAGCTTCTGCTCAATTGCAAGTACAGGACAAAGTCCAGCACGATCCCAACTGCGTGGAATTCATATTCGAGGTGGAGGATACAGGGAAAGGAATTCCCAAAGAGAAACATAAGTCAGTGTTTGAAAATTATGTTCAAGTGAATGAGACGACTTCTAACCACGAACAGCCAGGCACTGGCTTAGGACTCGGCATTACTCAGTCTTTGGTACGTGTATCTTTTACTATAAACTACATATAGTAGCAAATTCAAAATCTGGATTCAGTGTGTTCTGCTCTTTATATATACACGACAATTACACGTGCATATGTCAAACCTGCTGCGTCTAGTCTTGATCTGTTACTGTCTACATATGCATTCGTCAATCATATTAATAGCCATCTGGTTTTATACATACTGTACCAAGCCAGCAAATCCCTTAACCTTGTAAAAGAGTGATGATAATGGCACTGAATTATGTGTGGAATAACAAGAAAGATATTTATAGAAACACTATAAAACACAAGAATTTGTGAACAGCAAAAAGCGTTGCGCGTTCTGTATGTTTCCGAGTTGTCTCCTCTCCACATGCATTACAGGATTTGCTTCATAGAGAATTTAATGACTTTATTACTTCATATCTCAGTTATTGTTGGTTTCTACCTGTTTACTGTTTCTTAAGACGAGGGTCTATCGGAAACGGTCTCTCTACCTTCACAAGGTAGGGGTAAGGTCTGCGTACACACTACCCTCTCCAGACCCCACTTGTGGGATTACTTCATAACTCATGGTTCTTTCTCGTTTTGATTCAATCTGTAGGTACATTTGATGGGAGGCAAAATAAGTATCGTCGACAAGAAAATTGGTGCAAAGGGTACTTGCTTTAGATTCAACATTTTCTTGATAGCATGTGATTATCAGCCTCAACAACATCAAGCATTTAGTGCTAATAATGCAAGAGAAGATGATTTGGAGTCACATTTTGGAGGTTATATATCTAGTGACTCTTATCATCATTCAGTAGCAAGCAGTAATAGTATCACTGGCCATCAGAAACCAGAAAGTTCTACTACTGTCATTCTTTTCATCAAAGAAGAGGAAAGAAGCCGAGTTCTATGTAGATTCATGACGCGGATCATAGGCTTAGAGGTACATGCTGTGAGGCGACACGAGCAGTTTTCTCATACTCTTAAGAAGGTAAAAAGGGAAATTATCAACTTTTCATCATACAACTCTGCCTCCTCCTCCTCAGGGAAATCAAAGGAAATTCCTCTCAGTGCTTTAGATGGAACATATGATGATCATATCCCGTCGTTTCAGAGGAGGGGAAGAGGACTTCATTCTAAGAGCGCGCTTATAAGATTCATCTTGATTATAATTGACACAAATGCTGGCCCCATTCGAGAAATAACTCGAGCTATGGCTGAATTTCGGAAGGACTTTCCCAAGAATGTTTCCCTTCGAGTTGTTTGGCTCGATAAACCAGGGCTAGATGATGATAAGCTACCTTCAACAGATATAGTTATGACAAAACCACTACATGGTTCTTGTTTATATCATGTTCTCGGATTTGTACCAGAGTTTGGAGATAAAATTTTACCAACTGTCACACATGAAACAAAGGATGAAACAACTTCAAGAATGAGGGTTCAGCAACCTCCAATGAGGTCCAGAAGTCCGCCTTTAGAAGCGAAAACACGGGATGTTTCTGTTGATGTTAATGGAAGTTCTAATAAGAACTTACCTTTAACAGGAAAGAGAATTTTGGTGGTTGAGGATAACGCGATATTACTTATGGTTTGCAAAAGAATGGTTTCTCAGCTTGGTGCAATGACTTACACATGTAAAAATGGTGAACAAGCTCTAGCTCATGTTCGCAAAGGCCTCAGTGATCAACGCGATATAGGACCGTCTACTCCTTCATCACCATTTGATTATATTCTGATGGATTGTGAGGTAAGATGTGATTAATATTCATTCTTCTGGTTGAAAACTATGTTGCTTAGATCCTCCAAAAATGTTGTTGCACCAATGTCAGAACCTCCAAAAATGCATAATATTTGGAGGATCTGACATGGGCGTGGCAATACTTTTGGATGATTTGAGAAATATAGGTTAAATAGGACTTAAGAAGGGGAGCCTTGGAGCAACAGTAAAGTTGTCTCTGTGTGACCTATAAATTACGGGTTCAAGTCGTGAAAGCAGCCACTAATGCTTGCATTAGGGTAGGTTGTCTACATCATACCCCTTGTGGCGCTGCGCGGCCCTTCCCCGGATCCTGCGTGAATGTGGGATGCTTTGTGTACTGGACTGCCCTTTTTCAGGTTAAATAGGACTTAAGTTAAACTGCTAGAGATCGTTAGACTTTTACATATTACCATAAGAAGAAGTAATTTTGCCAGTTCTTTTACATTGTTAGGTTAAGTTGGCCTATAACAACAGGTAACTACTTATACCAAGCCAAATCGAGTACCCTGAAAAATAGAATAGATAACAAGTTAACTACATCGATAGTATAAAATTTATTACACTGTCAGTATATATAACTTATATCGTTGTTTGTTTCGTTTTTTAACAGATGCCAGTGATGGATGGATTTGAAGCAACCAGATGCATTAGGGAAGAAGAAGCGCGATATGGTATTCGAATTCCTATTATAGCTTTAACAGCTCATTCAGCAGAAGAAGAGATCATAGCTAAGATTTTTCAAGTTGGAATGGATTATTACTTACCTGATAAACGAATCGATCGTGATGGGCTTTTGAAAGCCATAGATTATATAGAGCATAGAAAGGTTTAAAAATGCTTTTTTTCGTCGAGCATTAATTAGTTTGTTATGTGAGACATAAAGTAAAATTTCTCCGAATATTCTTGCATGCATAGGGATGTCCCTTGCGCATAGCGGGAGCTTAGTGCTTCGGACTACCTTTTTATTCTTGCATGCAGAGGGTCGCGAGAACGGCCCTCAATTGTTTTTCTCATAGTTTTATGTTCTTTCTAAAGTTGAGTGTCTGGTTTTTTTTTACTCTCATGTAAATGTTTTCGTGATATTTACAACATGAAAATGAAGAAACAAATTCTTAAATCTTACCAGATGGAGAAGGAGTTCATGTCTGAGTTTATGATTTTTTGCTGATATTGTAAAGAATTTTTACACTATCAGGTTAAGCTGACGTACAACAACAGATTAACTCTTCATATCAAGCTTGATATGATAACTTGAAAAATATAGTGCAATAATTTGCTATGACCAGTTAAATTGAATTCAGTTTAAAAACTTTTTACACCATGAATGTATATAATTCAAACTCATATAATAATAGAGAACTAACAATGAATTTTGGTTCTATAAACTGAGAGTGTAAAAGAGTTTTTACACTCTCAAGTCGCCCGAATGATAACTACGAGTAACCAGCTATAAAAAGTAGGACTAGCTAACAAGTTGAAAATAAGGCAGGTTGCTTGCTACAATAGGTGAGAACAAAATGATAGTATGTGGGAAGAAGGATTTTCTTTTAAATTCCTTTTTGCACATTTGGGGAATATTTTGTTCATTCTATTGGTAATATGTTGTGCTCCCATTTTTGGCCAAAATTCAAGTAATACTTTTAGTTGAAATCATCTGCTACAAGTCCACAAATAGCCATTTTCAGAGATGTTATTTAGAGATTAGCGAGTACTTATTTTATTCTGAAATTTTAAACTAAAAATCTCAACTTCAGGACAATTCAGGACATATTTGTCCCGAAATTTGAACTGAAAAACTGAAATTTAAGACCAACTGACTAATTCTTGAATAACAGCCCGTTAGAGTGACTACCGGATGTCATTTCTTCTCTACGAAAGGAATCAGTATTTGGGACGTTTCAAATTGTGTTGTGCCCCTAAAGAGAACATATTCCAGTCCTAAGATGATGTATACAGTGCATCTTTACATATCAAAGTCCTTTCATGAGAAGCCTATTTTTCATGCTTATCTTCAAACTCATAGAGAGTGTCAAAGATCAGATAAAGTAGTTCTCAAGAAGAGAATTCCACAGAAAAAGATAATTAAAAAAAAAAAAGAGTACTGTAAACTGACAACTGGTACAACTATGATATATTTTCCTGATTACAAAATCCATATGGAAACATTCTCATTTCTATAAATCTGAGCACCAGCTATGGCCTCAGTGGTCATCTTTCCTAACCCAATGAACATTGTATTGTGTGTCCGAAGAGTCGAAGATACAAGCCCTTAAAAGGGATAATTGTGTCCTAATCCTGGCCTCAGTTATCCAAGAAATCCTCAAAAGAAGCCTCCAAGCCATCTCTCTCCTACATTCTTGCTGGAAGCAGTGTGTTCATATTTTGAGAAAATTGGCAACTACATAAGGAAGTGAGAGAGCAAAAAATGTAAACAGAGACGACTTCATATCGTTAATACTCTTCGTGAGACAATACGTCTACTTCACCAGTTTTTGCATCCCTTAAGGTCAATGGTGCCAGTCCCATAGCATATTGGAGGGGTCACAGTTCATCATGACCATGTGGTTGTTCCCTGTTCATCGTTTCTAGTTTATCTTGTAGTTCCTATCACATTTCAATATTTCACTGTTAGAAGTTTTACGATAAGTAGTTAATGTCATAAGAGGAGATTATATATACAGTATTAGAAGAAGCTTTTGTAGGGGTTGCCGGGGAGGGGAGCCAATATAGAGGTTCGGAAGAGCACCTTCAGTTTTTCTTCCCGACAAAGTGCCGGTGTAGACAAAAATGCTAAATATCTGCCATAACAAACAACAAGTCAGATTAAGTGCGCAAAAATTCACTACGCACATAAATCATGCACAATTCTGCATACACAAACAAAGATAAATGCTTACTCGCAGCGGCTAGGTTCATCTATATCAGTGAGCTCATTTTTCAAACCACACCTTAATTTGACCTGAACAAAACAAAAACAATTTAGAAGGCAAAGAGGGATCTTAAAAAGAATGCTTAACAGTGAATGCTGACAATCAAATTAGTAAGGTATCCTCACCTTTAAACTTCTATTTGGTCCATTCCAGCAATGGTCGCCATTTGAAAATTGCATGGTTTTATAGGAATCCTCAAATCTATCCCAGTTTCTTGATGAAGCAAGGGAGAAAGAAAAAAGGAGTATGATGAGTTCTGAGCTTATAACATTCAGGCAGAAAGATAAAATCTCGAAAAGGAATCCAGATCAAAATTATACACATCAAACCTAAAAATAAGTAAAGCTATCTCTTTTTTTTATGACCAAGAAATCACCCAGGAGCAGCGGCGCATGGTTCTAAACTCGATGGATAATATCCCCCTCTACCCTTCTTCGCTTTTGTCTGCAGCAGGATTCAAACCCATGACATGCACCTAACCCACAAATCACACGTGCTGCGTTCTTATCATAGAAACAAGATGGCTAGCTATCAAACGGTTTTATCATTTCTATGATGGGTCTGCCATCAATATCTAAAACTAAAGAGAGGATAACAAAGTGCAGAAAGTACTCCAGAATCGTGAAAGGATATTTGCAAAACAAGTCATCCTTGCCTTCTACTTCAAAGACAATCAACCAAAATTTGCTGCACAGAACGACTCAGATAATGCATATGTTTAAGATGTTAAAGAACCTACCCCAAACGAGTTGTACTGTAGCCCTCAACTTGGCTAGCTTCTTTGAAAGGGCAAATCTTGTACGTGTACCTTAAGTAAAAAAATAAGTCAGTGCCTGCTAAAGAATAACTTAGTAATATATTACTAAAAATAAAACTAAAACTTAGGTTAACAAGACAATGAAAGATTCATCACTTGTTCTCCTTGCTCTCGAAACATTGACCATGGAATGAGTAGAATTCCTTCTCCGGTCCTGCAATAGAACTAGTGGTTCAGCATATGCAAGATTATTCGCCTTCTTATAGAAGGAAAATTATGAACATATCCACAAGGAAGAAGAACATTAATAAACATAAATACATGAATTTCCATACCAAAATCTTGTTTCAACTTTTCTGTCAAGCTAGATATCCTCGATTGTATATTTGTCAACTTAGAACTTGACTCATCGTACTCTTTGCGTATGCGGTCAGCATCTACGGAGCAAAAACAAAATATCATCCATCATTTTCCTTCTCAGACTTTTTTTTCCTCCTCCTTAGACTACAAGAGCAGTAAAATGGATGAAACCTCAATTACTACCAGAAATGTTCACTGGAGTTTGGAACAAATTGACAGCTCGAAAAATGCTCTTTACAGTTTGTTGTATCTTCTCCATCCACGAAGGACTACTTGTGGTTGTAATATCTGGATAATTAAAATATAACAAATTAAATAGGTACTAGCTGTAGACATCAAATGCAATAGATTGTTGTCCTGCATGCCTGCGAAATCAGAATCATCATCAGACTCAGACTTATGCGAAGAACTTGAATCATGGTCCTCTCCAACAAAATCTTCAACTTGGTCCTCGCTGTCACCATCATCATACTTCTGTTCATCTTCCTCAGAATCATATCCGTTATACTCCTCTTCATGGGTATCAGGTAGCACCTCATTATGGTTATCATGGTTGGTATCTGAACCAGCACCAACCCCCTCAAGTTCCTGCTCGCTCTTTTTTCCTAACCAACGAGAACCAACAACACGACCTAACTCTTCCTTTGACAGTGACTCTGTATTTTCAGTAGCATCTTTCTCCTAAAAACATAAAAATGAATCACAAGATTAAAATGTTAACATTGTTGATCAAAATCCCTGACCACTTGTTCTCATGCACTATGGTTCTGAACAAGCTATTTACTCCAAAGCTACAAAAAAATCAAATTATACAACAGGACGCCCAATAGTGACAAGTTCCATATGCTTTGATTAGAAAAGTAAATTAATTGTTCACCCACGAGAAGATGCAAAAGACACCAGAGGACCACTACTTAGGACTTTCTCTGATTCTCCAAAAGATTACTTAACACCATACAGAAGAGCAGAAGAGAGAGGGGTTATGCCCTTCGCTGATATTAAGGAGATAAAAATTACTCGGTATACCATCCACTAAAACACGATACTTTTAAATCAATAGTTGCACCTCATTGCGGCTACTAACATCAACGTTATCATTGTTGGTGGACGGCTCCTCTTTCATTTCAGGATGCTATACAAAACGAGATTCTGTTTAGTCACGATAAAGATAAACCAAATACTGTTACGGGATCACATGTGAAGGAACTTCGGCTTCTCAAAGACAACAAACCTGAGAAGAATCTTCAGGCACCTGCTCTAACTCATCAACAGGAAACTCATCGTTCACAGAATGGTCACCATGCTGTACTTCGTCCACATTTTTGTCATGGCCTTCTACCGCATCCTGATATAAATATATAACATAAGTACTAGATCAAGCAACAAATGTCAAAAAAAAAGAGCATAAAGGAGACCTTTTTTACCAAAAAGCAGATACAAGTTTCACAGCAATCATTTGGAGATAACAGATAACGTTGCAATACGAACATCTAGAATCAGTTCTACATTTACTAATTAACCAAATTTTCTATTATGCTCAATGGCATTATTATCTCCAGAGTGTACACAGTTGTAAATCTCTTGGAAAGTGAATTTTTAAATCTAAAGAAATGGAGTACCCCATGTCACAATGTGTTGCAAAATTTTATCACAAAGAAACGTACTAGGCATAATGGGACATAACACATCTGACGAAAAACCAAACTAGTTATGCTGCATATCCTTGTGAAAGAGCAATAGTAAAATAGATTCACCACTAAAAATAAGGAAACTTTAGGATCTTTG